AATTCGCTCCTCACTATGTAGATTTCCTTTCGTGTACTGTTCTCTAATCTCTTTACATTTTATTTTCAGTTTTTTGCTTGATATATTTGTTTGTTTTTCCGTACATATTTTTTACTTAATGTGTTCCAATTTAGTTAAAATTTTTTTGAGTGCTCCTCACACTGTTGTATTGATATATTTTGCTTTGGCTATATTAATACAATATTAGAAAGCACTCCTTTTGCGGATATAATCGTGTGAGCTGATGAAGAGATTATATCTTTTCTTAGTTTTGTTTTCCAAATTTTATTTTTTTTTTAAGGTATTAAAAATTATGTTTTTTAAATACTTTTAAAAAATTATTGTTAATAATTTTCTTCTCTTGTCTTTTTCCATATTTTCTCAACTTTTTAACTTATATATATATATATAAATGAGTGTGTATGTAAAGCACTCAACGGGACGAAAGCTTTGACTAAATAGTTAGCAAGACCCCTATAATAAGCAAACAAGAACCCCATAGCCTAAGCCACAGATATTGATGCATTATTCAGACTCAGGGCAGCATTCAATAAACAAACAACGAAATTTAAAACTATAGCTACAGACAAGTACACGAATCCGTCTTCTTTTGATCATTACTCGAACCCACTATCACAAACTCTTTTGCAACATAACAACATTTTTTAGGAATAAAAAAGAAGTGAGAGTTAAAAAGTGTATAGTTAATTACGATATTCAAGCAAAATCTTTTATCTGAAGTGCTGATGCTTTTGCTACATGGTTTATATGAGCATGAATTATTTATTTTTGATATCATCATATGATAAAAGAAGTTGGTCTTTGGTACTTTTATTTACGTTAAACAAGAGCTGCATAATGAGTTATTGACGATGGTATGGAAAACATAACTGAGGATCATCCGGAGACAACATGCATGGGTCACATCCCATCTTACAGGGAGGACACATTAACACACTGCCCATTCATCTTCAAATCGTAATTTTGATTTGATTCAGAGCACGATCAATCTCTGATCCAGTACCCCCAGAGGTACTGATTTGTTATAGGAACTTGTAGGCACTTGTGACCCCGACAAATTTATCATGCACCAGCATCATTTAGTACACGAGAAGTCTTTGGTCAGGGGTGATCGAACTCAAAATCTTTTGGACATGGGCACAACGCCAGCTAGCTTATGATTAGAATTCTTTTTTTTATGTTTGTAAGTTTAACTTTTCGTTCTTTTTGTTGCAGTTTAATTTAGGAAAAAGTTCATTTTATTAGCTAAATAATTATTTGTTTTTTACCTTCCAATGTTATGCTCTAATTTCATTATGCATCAATCAATATTTCTAGCTTAATTTCTTGTATTATCAAATTCATCACAATGTATTAAATTGTAGTTCATTTACGTCACCCTAGAGCTGCACAATGGGCTATCGGCGACGGTCTGGGAAACATTCCTGAGGATGATTCGAAGACATGCCATCACAATTTTGATCCTCTACAGAGGGGATGGCACCCCCGCTTCGGTAGCCTAGCGACCTGCACGTGAAGTCGAGCACTTTACGGTCGAACAGTTTAACGAGGACCCATACCGCACACCCTCGGTCCCTACGTAGACTGATCCAAGTGGTCTCCCACCCGCACACTGACCGTAGCCAGTGATGCTTGACTTCGGTGATTTGCTGGGAACCGTGTCTTAACGATCAGTTCACTGCGGGACGAGCTAGAATAACAAAATTATAAACATAATTATTGTGAAAAATTATTTAATTCATTTTTTAATAAAATCTCGATTTTTAAATGACACGTACCCTTATTGCTTATTTTTTCTTAAAGTTTTATCATCATTAGTTGATTAAATGATAAATATTATTCGATTTCATTAAATAAACCTAGTTTATTGATCTTAATCTGTAACTTTAACCTATTAAAATCTTAAAAATGAAACTTTATACCCCGGAAGTCTAAATAAATCCTATTTTATCTGTCTCTGAGTCATGTAAACAAAATGTTGATATCTGTTTGCAATTCTAATATATTTTTTTCAAATATTTTTAACTTATTACATATTTGTAGTATATGAACCTAAAACAATGTTTCTCCGAGATTTATTGACCTACATACATATCTTAGGTGATGATCAGTTTTTGACACCAAAGATATCCGGGGTCAAAAACGAAAATAAATCAAGTGAAAGTCAATATTTTATGGAAAAAAAATATATAAATCACAAATATATAATCGAAATTTGTTACTTGAACTAGAAACCTGTTATTAGTAGAAGTAAAAGTCATTCAAAAACTCAGAAATGCACGCAAGCATTTTAGCCAGTGGCAATAGGTCAAATACATTTCTTTTTCTCTTCTGAACTTTGTAACGGCATTTACTTTTTACATCTCATTTAGATTGAGCTGGAAAAAAAGATATAAAGTGAAATTAAAATACTTCATTAGGGTAAGTGATAATTTCTCACTTAAATGTCATTATAATCTTTTAATCTCATAATTATTCAGATAAAGCTTAAGTTTTAAGCTTCTCTCATGTTTTATATCTATTCTGCAGTTTAAATTGTGCTGAAAATAGATTTTTTTTTCTGAACCATGAAAAATAAAACAAAGGAGAGGAAATCGAATACTAATCCGTAAATTTCTTCTGTAATTTCGTGGGTGCAACAAAATATTTAATTGTCATGTGGAAGCAAAGTTCAATAAAACTAAGTTAAATAGCCTTGTAAATAGATTCGTAAAGTAAATAATAGTATATTTGATCCTAATAAAACTAAGTTAAAAAACCTTGAATATATCATATAGCATTATACAGTATATTTGATTCCAATGAAACTGAGTTAAAAAAAACCTTAAATATATTATGTATATTAATAAAGTAAATAATAATATATTTGGTCCTAATGAAACTAAGTTAAAAAAATCTTGATTATGTTATAAAGATTTAAAAGGTAAATAATGGTATTAATGGTATATTTGATCGGGAAACTACTACTTTCGTTAACTTTTTCAATATTTATAAGTTTTCTTTTATGATTATTTTTGCATCGTCAATTAACAGACAAAAAAATTACATTTGATATTGAATTGAAATATTACAAAAATTCCTCCATAAATTATTACCAGATTGTTTTGATTTCTAAGATAATACCACAGAAGCCGGAAACATTTTAAAGATCATTAAGGGAATTAAACGGATTGAAGTCATTTTAAGACATAAATTTTTCATTTTGTGCTGCTTTGATTTTAATTCATGCAAACGATGTATGACCACACGAATTCAGTAAAAAAAACTGAATCCCTTCCATTTCTAATAATTCAGGAATGCCACCGGCGACTAAATATGTAGAAATTGGTTGAAACTCCATTCTATTTAATCCCAGGGGACCGAGGGTGTGCGGTATTGGTCCTCGTTGAACTGTGCTACCGTAAAGTGCTCGACTTCGGGTGCAGGTCGTCGGGCTACCGAAGCGGGGGTGTCATCCCCTCTGCAGAGGATCAAAATTGTGATGGCATGTCTTCGGATCATCCGCAGGGATGTTTCCCAGACCGTCGCCAATAGCCCATTGTTCAGCTCCAGTGCGACGCAAATGAACAACAACAACAACCATTCTATTTAATTTATTTATTATCTTCCTAATGATTCATTCGTAACTAAAACTATGAATTACATTTCAAATTATTTATAATAAACTCCAAAACATTCACTTACATTCACGAACTGAACAAAAATATGCTGTATTAATTTGCTAATTTCAATTTCTTTTAATAAAATTTTGAATTTTATTAGTCAGAATTTTTGGCATTTTTAACCCTGAATAATTAGATTTTCATGCACTAGCATAGAATCTAAAAAATTTCTAAAGCTCCCTTATAAATGCTTAAAATATTGGGCATCAATTTTTCAAAAATTTCCTCCTTCCGAGATGAATAGTCAATTTTTAATTAATTCAAAACTCGAATATGGCAGCGAAACAGCTGAATTGACCAAAGTTTTTTTTTTTGTGGGGCGTACGCATTGTTTAGAAAAAGAGATAAATCCAAAAATTTTTCAATTCTCTTAAAAAGTTCTCGAGATAGGCGAAGTACACAAAAAGTAAAATGAACATTAAAGGGTCCAAACTTTGGATCACTCTCCTGGCCAAACTATGAGGACCATATTTCTTAGATTGCTTCTACCCCCTATATTTTGGTGGTCAGAAATCAGAATTCATTGAAGAAAAGGTATGTATGTTCAGAGAAAGTACGTTTTTGTGTCTGATTTCATAATATCGTCTGCACTGATTAATTAGCATATTAGAGGAAATTCCCTCGAACCATTGAGTCGCAAAACGTAAAGATCCGATTATTAGATCAAAATTACGCAGGGTGGTCCGTTTATTTTGGCACACTGTTCAGTGTGTAAAATAAATTTAAAGAAAAAAGTGAACGTCCTGAATAACTGTTGATCTAATTATCAGAATTTCAAGCACTGGGACTCTTTTGTTTTTATTTTGCACGCTGTACAATAAGCAAAATCAAAAATGAACACCATGATAACTTTTGATCAAATTGTTATGCACTAAAATACAATCTCAATGACTTGAAGTGCTAATTTAAATATGGTCATTTATTTGTGCACACTTGGAAAAATTGTAAAAATTTTCAACTTTATCCTAGCAAATATCTACGCTAAAATAGTTTTTATAATTATTTTTTATTATTAAGTGTTTACAATTTTTGCTATGGTTTCAAATTTTCACATCATTTTAACTATGAAAATTTAAATCACAAAACTGAATTAGTCCCTTTTTGATTTATCTTCATTCTCAGCAATAGGAAAAAGACGCATGGGACTAGGTCTGGTGAATACGGAGGGTAGGGAATGACAAATCACCCATAAGAAGTCACCCATAGTGGGTCACTTGTAAGACCGTATGCGCTTGGGCGTCCTACTTTCAAATCCTAGGTCAAAATCCACATACACGCTCTCCAACTCACTCTTTGTTTTTTCTAAAATTGGTCGATCGTGAAAAGACGATCCTCGTTGATTGTTTTCCGGATTTTTTCAACGTTTTCAGGGTGTTAGATTTAGAAGAGCACCCAAAATGATCATAATCTTTGACACTCATCTCGCGACATTTAAGCGACCAAATCACTCGAGAACTTGTGTACGGCTTATAGCATTTTTCTGAAAAGTCTGATGAAGTATTTGCATATCTGCCAACTACCATCATCAGCTTTTTTTTAATGAATATTACGCTTTGGATTTTGATTTGGTGTTTCCTCCTTGTTCAATCAACACTAGAGCCAAATACAATAGTGTTTATTATGACCTGCAATACCGCAGTTCAAAGTTAGAACTTATACTTTATAATAGTGCAAATTTATGAAAAAAAATTAAGATATAAATTTAAAAACAATGCTTTTTATATTTTTTTATAGTTTCATATTATTTCGTTAAGCAGGTGAGACGTGTAACTTTTTAACTAGAGAAGAAAAACGGTAGAATCTTGATCCAACGACAAATAATTAACTGCTAAAGTTGACATATTCAGCCCACAAATTTCATCCTTGATGACCTAATATAATAAAATATATAATATAATATTATACATATATTGCGTTATATTAGATCACCTTTTAAACTTAAAAATAGCTGCAAAGAGAGGCAATAATTTTTTTAAATGTATTATCAGTGTTAAGAGAAAATTCCTTCAAGATTAGGCACTTTCACCAAGAAAACAATTTCATTAATGTCAGATGTATGATGCTATTCTATTTAAAACAGGAATATTTTATTTTATAACCGTCGTTGAACAGCCGACCTAATTTTATGGGTTTACGACTACTTATGCTCAACTCCGTAGCTTTGTAATTTTGAATCCAGTCCAGAAGAGAGGACTCCTGGATCGAATATTGGGAGAATTTTGCCTCCGTGGAGGACTTTTTGATGGAGCTAACCCCACATTTGCGCTACATGGAGAGGAAGACCACGAGAAACTCCCACGGTTAGCCTGACGTTAGTCTGACGGCAAAGGGACTCTAACCCATATCCGTCTACCACTGAGGATATTTCACGTCAGCACTGTGGTCGGTGCAATTTTTAAATACACGCATTATTATTTACTACTAAAATAACTTTAATATAAAGAATCAGTAGAATTTAAAAAATGTCAAGCTTAGATTTTTAAGGTGTGCAGATATGCCAATATGCATTTTCATTACAATAAATAATTATTTCCAGGTATTGTTTTTATTACGAGTTAAATTCTATCAAATCCAATATCAATGTCATCTATCAGTTGCTCGATTAAGGTGAAATGATTTGCTTGGTTGAATTTTGTGAAAGGGGCTGTATTTAGGAGGTAACAACTTTTCTCTACTTTACACTCTTCTTAATTCGCAGTTTCACTGATTGTTTGTTCTATTAATCTTCTTCATCATGGATTAAAGTTCATATTTTCCGTGAAGTTAACATTTACATAACAAGAATTGATAGTAAGTATTATTTTATTTTATAAATTAATAGTAGTACTTCAGATTATCATTTAAACAAAGTGAAAATAATTTATTTTTTTGAATTGTGTAATATTTTAAATTCAATAACTTCAAATAGTTATTATTCCTTGTATGATTTATCAACATTTTAGTTTCTTTCTCGTCAATAAGAAAAAATTATTGAAATATTATAGTTGATAAATGAAAATTAACTAAAAGTAAGGAAATAGTACGCTGGTATTTCGTGATGTAGCGTTGTAGATGATATTGCTATGGAATTTGTTTTATCTAAATCAGATAAAATCCTTCGCCTATTTAATTAAATAAAAAAATTAATATTAATATGAATGTTTTATAAAATTTATTGAAGCTGTTTTCATGCATAAAATGTGACTAATATAATTTATTTTTATAAAATTATATAATATTTTAAACTACTTAATTTCAAATATATCATCTAAACTGCTTAACTTCACATATATTCATAATTTTTTGCATATTTGACTAGCAATTTAGTTTTGTTTGTCATTTTAAACTAATTATTAAAATATTTTATAAATGAATCTTAATTTGATGTAAAAAAATTAAATGCTGGTATTTTAAGATAATGAATTTTTGAATGATATTGATACTTAAATATTTTTTATTCTCTTAGCCCCATGTTGATTAAAATTGTATGCTTACTAAGAGAAATAAATAAATTTATTTTATAAATTAATGGCAGTATTTTTCATTATTATTATATAACGTGAACATAATTTAATTTTTAAAATGTGTTATTTTAAATTGCCTAACTGCAAATATATATTTTATAATTTTTTTGTTGCATTTCTTAACTATTATTTTAGTTTTCTTTCTTCTTTACGAACTAACTATTGCAGTATTTAATACATGAATACTAATTTGAAGTAAATAAAAATCACCCCAAAATTTAAAAATTCAGAGCTTTCAACAATATAAATATCAAGCAATTTTTATTTTTTTTAACCCCATCTAAATAAGAAAAAATTCTCTGTCATTTAAATGAAATTTAAATAATAAATAATTAGGTGCTTAAAAATAAGGTTATTATACTGCCTTGCAATTAACAACGTAAGTGCTTTGCAATAGATTTCCAGAAAAGAGGTTTGACAACTATGTTCTTAATATTGCTAATACTATGAACTCTAAAATAGATTTTCAAAAAACGAATAAAATAGAATTTATTTTCGAAAAAAAATTATTTTTAATGGATAGTTATCATACTAAAATGCCAAATACATTAAAATCTAAATTTTGAATTTTATGTCACTTACGTTTATTTTTCTATTGCACTACAGTATTGACTATTAAGGTGAAATAGTTTATTCAATAAACTTACGTAACTTCTCCAACCTTGAAATATTAAAGTAACAATTAAATATGTAATTTCTTTTAGAAAAGAGTTCCTATATTTTGTACCGCTCACCATTAATCAATTTCATATTACAGTTTTATATTACAATTAATTTTACAAAGTAGTGACAATTCATAAAGTTAAATTCTTTACATCAACTATTTTCTTATTTCTAGGCCTGAAAATTCTAATTCTAATACGATTACATAGACCAATTGTAATCGTATCAACATAAGTTACTGAAAAAAACTGATGCAGTGATAAAATCATTAGTGTATGACAAGGGTTCACGAAGAGCGTGTCGCGGCACCCTGGGGATGTGAAGTAAAACTGTAAGGTGACCGTGTCGTCAGTAGAAGTAAAACTGTGATTAGAAGTAAAACTGTGAGGTGACCGTGTCGTCAAGTCTGATATTAATCCTCTAATAGTAATCAGTTGCTGTTTAAAGCGAGGGAGGAGCTAAATTTGAGTTGACAGAGGTATGGATGTATTGCGTTTCAAAAATTAAAAAAAATGTTTAATGGCTCTTATTTCGTTTGCTAGTTAAAAGTGCAAAGTTAAGTCTTCACTGATTGCTGTTCTAAACAGAAAATACCACACGAAAACAAATAAAAGAAAATAGGATGGGCTATATCAATCTTTTTCACAAGTTGTAAAGTTATGTGCTGAGTAGCAAGCCTAGCCATCACACTAAATGAATTAACAATATCGTCGAATACGGATATGTTTTCCTTGTTCATATTTTATTGTAAATTATTAATACTTTATATTATTGTAATTAATATCAATCTTTTTCACAAGTTGTAAAGTAATGTGCTGAGTAGCAAGCCTAGCCATCACACTAAATGAATTAACAATACCGTCGAATACGGATATGTTTCCCTTGTTCATATTTTATTGTAAATTATTAATACTTATTATATTATATATTAATGTCTTACTATAGATTACAATTATAGCTCTTGGGAAGATTTTATGTATGAGTTTTATTATCTATCGCAATATATTCCATAGCTTCTGTTTTATAGAATTATATATATGAAGCTTACATTGCATATATATAATAAAACATCGGCCAGCCATTTATTCTGGACAAAGCTCAAAATGCGTTTTGTTAATGGATATAGCTCGAAGTGTGTGCTTAAGAAAATAAACTCAGCATAAAATGCACTTTTTCAATCCTCAACTTAAATTTAACTACAAAACGAGGAATCTCATGCTTACTTTTCCTTGCTTTTTTAAACACAAAGCTTATCCATTGCGGGGCAAAGTTCCAGACGCGATTTTACAATCCAGTCGCTTTTAACAACCCGCTCTCCTGTTCGGCATTTTTTAAATAAATAAAAACATGATTTTTGACTTTTTTATTGCTTAGGTAACAAACTTTAAAAAAAAATAGATGTTTGCATTTTAATTGCAACCAACTACAGAGGAAAATCTCTAAGAAAGAAAGCGAGTCGTTGAAGGCCGTTGGATTATATATTAACCTTCCAAACTGGGTGGCTGGGTATATTACAGATGTACTTTTTCAAGCATCTCCTCGTATTTAGTACACTAAACAATACAGTAGTTTTAAAAAATCAAAATTTGTGCATCATGAATTTAAAACCACGATTATAAATTTATAGGACCCGTGACAACCTTGATGAATGAACTGTTTTTCAAAAAAAAACTGTCTTTTTAAAAAGACTAATTTTAGAAAAATGTAAGTTAAAATAAAGTGATTTAGGTAAATGGACTACATCACATGAGGAATTTATTTGGATTGATTAGTTTATTCTTTAAAAAAAGACCTATTTTCATCAGAGAAGTTTAAAAGACAGGATCAATGCTATGTCCATTTCCTTAAATAGCTATGTCCATTTCTTAAGTAGCAATGTGCATTTCCTTAAAAAGCTATGTCCATTTTTTAAACACGCATTTTAAGCTGTGTCCGTTTTCTGAAACACTCACTTTGAACTATGTCCAGAATAAAAAGCTCACCGACGATATTTTATATCGCAGACAAATATTTCACTTTATATACACATATTAAATAAATATATGAGCTGGGCGTGAAATAATTTTTGAGTCCGTAAAGTTGTTTCAACTTAGTTTGGTTAGGCAAAATAATAACATTCATGCTTATAAGTTTTTTTTCTGTTACTCTATTATGCTTAGTTTACATTTTAATAAATAAATAAGCATTTTGATACACCATGCACCATACAATTTAATTCTATTTTTCTTTTCCTCAGATTGTATGGAGAAACTTTAATTCTTTGCTACAAACATGGAAAGTGAAGACACTCAAAGTCATCGAAAGTTTGATCTACCAGATTATGGCGTATGCATCGCCATGCTTGGAGTATCTGCCGGTATAGGCGTATTTTACGCAATATCTGGCAGGAAACAAAATACTACCAAAGAATTTCTATTTGGTGGAAAGACAATGAACGTTATACCAGTTGGTTTATCCGTTTTAGCAACTTTTCTATCTGCTATAACTTTGCTTGGTTTACCAGCAGAATCTTACCAATTTGGTATACAATATTGGTTAATCAATATTTCATATTGTTTCATGTTACCAATAGTAGCTCATATTTATGTACCTTTATTCTACAAATTGCAAGTATCATCAGTTAACGAGGTAACAATATTAAAGTTCAAATTATTAATTTGATTAAAAATTTGTAACATGCCTTTTTGATTATAAAAATGATTTTTCTCTTTAGTACTTGGAAAAAAGATACAACAAGTTTATTAGAACAGTGTGTTTTGTCATATCTACAATTTCGCAGGTAAGTTATTTGAGACAAAATGCCATCACAATTCAGTTTTTAATCTATGATGTTTATTTTTTTTTTCTAAATAAGCAACAGAAAGTTTTAAATTTACATTATTCATCTCACTTTGGAGTAATATGCATTAAAAAAAGTAAAGCTTTCGTGCGACAGCCAGAGCGAATCAGGAAAGTTGAGGCTCCACGATTTAATGATTAACGACGCAATGGCGGCAATATGGTCATCATTGTGCACCAATAGCCTTTACTTTCAAGATAATCTGGAATTCATAGATCTAAAACTGAATCTACTTCCAGCCGCCACCGGAATTCGAACCCCAGCGTTTCAAAATGGCAGTTTAGTGCCTTAAGTGCTGAGCCATTATGGCTTGGACTGTGCAATAAGGTTAAGGCTACATGATTTTGTTACTAAAGACGTAACGGTGGCAATATGATCACCATTCTGCACAGATTGCCTTTACTTCCCAGGCAAGCTGGTATCCATCAATCTGAAGCTGTGATGGCTACCAGCCGCCACCGGAGGTCGAACCACAGTGTTTCAGAATGGCATTTTAGTGCCTTAAACGATGAGCCATCGTGGCTTGGACTATGCACTCACTCTAAATCTGACTGTATCTTAAACCAACTACATTGACAATAATGCCGAGACTTGCTTAAAATAATTTTTCTTAAGAAATTTTGAAAATACCATGTCGTACAGCGTACCAAAGTCGTGAATCGATAATGTGATACGTGTGCAAGCTACTACCTAGAACGAAATTGAAACGAATAAACTGATTTCATCTATTGTTTTTTCAGTTGTAATATGTTATCATTGGTAAAGGTATTTCATTTTGTGGGAAACTTGTAACTGTTAGCATGTATGATTTTTCTTTCTTTTAATAATTAAAAATACCAATTAAGACACAATCCGATTATTTTTATGTCGATTACTTGGCATTTTATGCAAGATGTGGTTTCTAATTTCTAAGACTAATCTAATAACTCCTGAAAATATTATGCGTGTCACATACGCATTTAATATGCTTCAGAGCAATCTCCGCCTGCTATAATATATTTTTGAACTTGGAAGAAAAAGCTTCAAAAACTACTTTTGAAGTCCTCATTCGAAATATTCTTTCTTTACGTGTTTTAAAGATTCTGTGATCCCTTAAAGATAACGTATGTTGAAAAGAGGAATCATTCATCATAATCTTCGTACAAATTTCTTACCGACTTTTTGATACTGAACCTGAAAAGTTTTATAAAGGGAATATGAAGTCAGTCTTAAATGTCCTTGCCGAATATGATTTATAAGTTTGAAAATGAAGACATTAAGAATATCAGAATTGAAGATCATTCCGATAGAGGACTTCAAAAGTTGATTCTGTAACTGATTATTGTTATTTCGTATGGCCCTTAGACAAGCCAAGCTGACTAGCCATTGGCCTTTTGCGAATTACGTCCGGATGTGCGCCTCTCGTAAGAGAAAAGAGCAACGCAAGGGTGAAAGTTCATCTTACCTCAGAACCCCACGGATAGATGGCAGCACCACTCATTCATGAGGTCACTTCCTCATTTACACATAGATCTGATGGGAAAGGAAATTTTCTCCAGATCTCTGCACCCGTGGTGATAGACTGTAAGACTTTCGATTCCCCGAATTTTACGTTCACGTATATCGCATATACTTGGTGAGTCCTACCGGAGACGAGAATCGAACCCTGACCTCTCCGGAAAGACGTACGATTCTCTAACCAATGAGTTACTGCGGAGTTGATTTTTAAACTTTTAAAGTCGAGAACAGAAGTTTATTACGGCATGTGGAGGTAGCTTCAGAATATTTTAAATAGGAATATAATCCACTTGATATATTTTTTGATCAATCCTGGAAATTAATAGAGGCACCTTGTAATTTTCAACAATCAACATGTTATCCCAAAAAATGGCTTCCTTACTAACGAAAATCATTAGAAGTTTCAAAAATGCATAGCTCTCTAAAAATTATCTTCTAAGTTTTTTTTTAACTAAATGCGTATTTACGTGAAAATGTAATTGAAATTTTTGAGCTGAAATTATATGGAAAACTTTAAAATTCACTAATGTAATTTTGCTTTATTTTTCAGTTGCTGTATATAGCATTTGTAATTTATGCACCATCGCTTGTTCTATCACAAGGTAAATAGTATTTCAAAGATGAATAGGTTTTAATTTTTTTCGACTCTTAAAAAGTTTGAAGAAATATAGAGCTTAAAGTGTGTTTTTATTTTTAGTAACGGGTCTACATCTTTGGGTTTGTGTATCATCGATTGGTATTGTTTGCACATTTTATACAACAATAGTAAGATTATTTTGTTTGTTTTTTATTATTTTTTGATGTATAAAGGGTATACCCTAATCTAACCCTTAATATAAACTTTTTAATGTCTGTCAAAAATAAAATAAGAAAGCATACTCATGTCTGGTCACAAATTCCTATTCATTTGAAAAATATAAAAATTTCAATGTAATCAATCAAATCGCTAGCGAGGAAGGCGAGAGGAGAAACATCCAAAACAGTTTTATACTCTGATAACCTTGGAAGTGTTTTCTAATTATCACCATAACTCGTCGTCCTTGCGTCAATCAAGTAGCTTTCGATATTTCCACCTTCTTCAGTAGTAATTTGTTAAATCTCCATAGTGTTCTTGTCTTTTCCCTCCTTTAAAAACTAATTTGTGACCCCTATTATAAATATTTTGACTAAATTTTTGACAAGGATTCAAAAGTATTCATTAAGAGCTGTCTTTTTAGAACACTTTGCATTCAAAAAAAAAAATTTCGAAGATAAAGATTAGAAAAGATAGTACTAACTTTTAAGATAAGTCAGATGAGCAAAACTGTTTATAATATCGTTAGAAAAAAATTATCTTGTCAAACAAAATGCATACTCTAATTTCTAATCTATTTTCGTTTATTTTGTCAGTCAAAACTATTTTAAAATATTAAACATTTTTTGTGACAAAAAAATTCTATTACTAAATACTATTTTCGAAAAATTGTTGCTATTTTCGAACAACTGCTTAAAAATCTTCAGAGTTGAAATAAAAGCAAATATTTAACATGTTAAAGTACCAGATTAATGCAGAACAATAAAATTAGCATGGTCAATGATAAGGCAATGAATTTGTGTTTCGAATATGATGACGACACTCTTATGGTATCCAAACAACTCTTAAATATTTTCTTTGAATATTTTTTTCCGATTATTCATAGTCATATAAGAAAAGATATATTCCGTATTTTTATGAAATCAAATGAGTTAATTATGTTTTTAGTTTTAACATTGTATCTAATCAATATTTTCGCCAAATCTTTTCTGCCAGTAAAGGCCCAATGTAAGACTACAGCTTTTAAAAAAAATAAAAAATAAGAATAAATCCGTTCTCAATGACGAATTTAGTGGTACAACATGTGATATTACCGTTCTTTGAAGGACAAATTATATTTCGAAGTATCTTACAGAAATCATCCCTTATAATCAGTTATAATACCATTTGAGAATTCATTTTTTTAACAGTGTAGTTACTTTAATTAAAGTTTGAGTAGTTTCTTTTTAATTCCCAAATTATTTTAGTTTGATTAGTATTATACTGAACCAGAAGAATTTTTTCATTCAAGCAAATCCATATTTTACTTGATTAAGAAACTTTATGCACTTTAAAAATATACCAATTCGAAAAACGACATGTTTCAAGCGCTTTAATATAGGCACCCATTTTCAAGACTTTGCCAGACGTGAATGAATAGAAATAAAAGTGATTGGAATTATAAAACGTAAAGTTGCGTACTAAAAATGGAAAATAAAGGGGGGAAACAAAACTAGTAAAACCTCATTACTCGAGAGAGAATAAAAATAATGATGAAAAAACAGAACAATAAAAACTAATTTTTCATCGTAATTTTTATTATTTCTCACCTACTCAGATTTTCTAGTATTGTTTTTTACGTTTATCTTTCCCTTTTCTTTGTTAACTTTCCGTTTCCTATTTCAAATTACTTTTATCTTTTCTCATTCACGCCCCGAAAGTCTGGGAAATGAGAGCCTATGTTTGAGTACTTGAAACATGTCGACGGTTTTTTCGAATCTGTATATTTTAAAAGCAAATGAAGTTATTTAACCCTTTAATTTGAGCTCTCGAGTTAATTCGAGCTCGTTAAACAAGCCAAACTGGGCACACTCGAGATAATTCGAGCGTTGTATTTTATGCTGCTATAATTTTTCACACTCGAATATAATCGAGAATTGAAAATAACAATGTGTAAGCTAAGAAAAAAAAATCGTTTTATTGATATTTATCATTTACATAGGATTGTAAGCTATAACATTTATTTATTCAAGAATAAAATATAGCCCTTTTCCATGGAACAAAAGGGCAGTATATCAAAATTGTCCACCAAAAGACAAGTTGAACTAGGAGCGGACTGTGTTCTGAAATGTGTTTTTTTACATAAAAAAGTGATTTTTTTTACCCGGTTTTTTTCCAAAAAACCTGTGTGCTTTGAGGGTTTAATCAAGTAATATCTTACCGTTTCAGTTTCTTGGGTTTATTCATTAAATTGATATTTTACTTTCAGGGAGGAATTAAAGCAGTTATCTGGACTGATGTTTTTCAAATAATAATTATTTTTGGTGCATTAATTACGATCATTGTAAAAGGTGCTATAGATGTCGGTGGCATTGATGTGGTTTGGTCCAAAGCAGAGGCTGGAGGCAGAACTGCAATTTTAGAGTAAGAAAGCACTATAAAACTTTCATTAAAAAAATAGTTTTCATAGGTTTACTTCTACAATTAATTACAAAATTAGTGTAATTTGCTTGATGAAAACAGAAAATTTTTTATTGACATTCTAAGAAAACTGAATGCTGCTTTTTTATAAAAACCTTTGAATTATATTAATGCTTAAATAAACGCAAAACAAGTTTAGTTTTAAAATTAAGCGAAAATTTTAAAAGTAATTTTACAAGTAAATTAATAACAGTTTTTGAGTATGCTCTATAAAATATAATGAGAAACAATTATGCCATTAAATCAATAAAAAGATCATTCCACGGTTACAAAATAGAATTCAATGCAATTAGTCATACTATTTTTAAAATTAAATGTGTAACTTATATTACAAACCAGAGTGTGATTATTAAAAACCTAGCTATTCTGTCATCTGCACCAGTAACACATATATTTTCAGAATTTTAGTAAAAAAAGTCAAACAAATGTACACATTAGTGATCAAAAATCAAAGAATGATGATAGTTCCACTGATTTCACTAACAATTGGTCAGATTTTTATAACATAGTTGATTTTTCACACTAAAAAATTAGTTTTTGACCAATGATCCGATTTTTTTTTACTTAATTCTTAGCAAGGAGTCTTCATCATGAATAATAATTATGAAAATATCATATAATGCTATAAATGATATAATTTACAGTTTGTATGTTATTTAAACTTTTTTTTTATACATCGAACGAATTTATAGTATATTATTCAATTGTTTTTTCATTTTTAGTTTTAACCCGGATCCTACAGTAAGACATACTTTTTGGTCCCTAACATTTGGTGGATTTTTTACTTGGCTTAGTATTTATGCAGTAAATCAAGCAATGGTTCAAAGATCTTTAACAATACCAACACTGCCTAAAGCTAAAGCGTAAGTATTTGGGAAAGTAATTATTTGTCTGTAAATATTTATTAAATATATATTTATCATTGCATCTTAATTATTAAATGAATGCGGCAGTTGTTACTTTCTTTAATTAAAAGTATTTCAATCCTTTTATGATGATGATGCATCCAATGCAGCCAACATAATCACTTATGGCACATTTTAATCTATCTGTAGAGTCTGGTCTAGAAAATTCAAAAAATATTTTTTATTCCATATTTCGATACTTTATACTATGAGGTATATGTGGGCGAAACATATGTTTGTCAGTGGGCAGAAACTATTTAATATAGTTGAATAACACGATTATCGGGTATACGAAGCCCATGTGCAAGAGGTCGTGGGTTCGATCCCAGCCGGCCAAAGACTCTCGGTGTAGTAAATGGTGACTGATGCACGCTGAACCTGTCGAGTCGCAAGGTCCTCCATGTTCCCATAGCAAATATCTCTGGGTGTACTGATCCAGAAGTTTCCTTGTCTTCTGGATTGATTCAAAATTACAAGGCTACGGAGTTGAACATTATAGTCGTAAACCCAAAATAGGGTCGGTTATTCAACGACGGTTATAAAATAATGTAATATTGTATAATATAAAATTTATTGTAAAGAACAGAGATGGTTTAGGGGATAGAGCGTTCACCTTCCAATTAGGTGAACCGGGTTCGAATCCCAGGGATCGATACGAATACCGTATCCGGCTTGCACCAACCACACTGCTGATGCGAAATATCCTCAGTGGTAGACGGATTACGGGTTAGAGTCCCCTTGTCGTCTAGCTAACCGTAAAAGGTTCTCGCGGTCTTGTGGTGAGCACTTTATCCCCTGAGTCACCACGACTTGTTCCTTCTAAATTGCGCTAATCATATTTTCGATATCCCAGTGCATATTTCATATAAATTTTAATTTCAATGGAAAAGTTATGATAAAAAATACAATCGGGCAAAGCCCTAAAAATATTTTCTATTACAAATAAAAGATTATTATTAAACATTTTGTTTAATTCATAATCCATTGTTTGCAAAAATAAATAAATAAATAAAATAAAGAAAACTTCCCTTTTTCTATCTATGATAGATACTTTTTTTTTAAAAATTCTTCTTTAAAAACGGCCTTTGTTACAACTAAGAGTGAGAAAGAAGCGTTTAATTTATCAAAATAATTTGCATTCTTATATTCAATGTTGCAAAATCAACTGGGAAATTACTCAAAAAAAATCAAGTTGGTAAATATTTTATTTTATTTAACTTTCACATCATCAAATAGATGCGATTCGTCTTCCGCATCTATTTGATGTGTTGTTTTTAGGAAGCTGGTTTTAATTAAATTGCAGGTACGTACATTACGCTAAGAATGTGATAATGTTCTACGAATGTTGAACTAAGTTCTTTGCTTAACATTTATCGTCTCCAGTTCTGAATTGCCTGTAAGAGGTTTATCTGTGTGAAGTATCTGTTAAGAGTTCATTGTAGTTTTGGATAACTGAAGTCAACCTAGTTCAAATTTAAACGATTTCTCTCTAACGACGAAAAATCAAATTAGGTTTAATGCTTCTGAAGGACATAACAAAGTGTTATTAGCACATAAAAATTGAAAACTATTACAATTTACTCAAAAATGCATCTACTTCTGTGACGGTAAAAAAAAAATAATAAAGCGAATCCTATCTTTAAAGTGCGTTGGGCACATTAAGGCAAGCTTAGTTTAGTAGCCGAGTCAGCAAGTTTTAGTGGTTATTCACTCAGTGAAACTCAAATGAGGGTTAGTTCCATCAAAAAGATCTCTATAAAAACTAGTTTGTCACAATGTTTAAGTCAAGAAATCCCTTTTCTCGGGGATTGGGTTTAAAATTACTAGGCTACGGAACTGAACATTGATATTCGTAGACTCAGAAATGGGTCAACTGTTGAACGCCGATTATAAAGTATAATATAAAAATAAAACACAAATCTTTAAAATGAAGTACATACTATAGAAAATAAAAAAAAATTATTTTTGATATTACCTTTGTAAAATGTGAAATAAATGAAGGTTTACAAATAATGTAAGTGAAAAAAATTTATATGAGTTAAAGCTTCATTCTTAAAAAAACATCAAGCATTAAATGGTTGAAACCTTGCGAGCGATTATATCGCGTAATAAAAACTATTTTATATTGAATGTAAATTTACAATTTAAAATACCTCTTTATGTATTTTTAGGGTTATATGGATGAATCTTCCAGGAAATATTCTAAGTGTTACCTTAACTCTCTTAGTCGGGCTCATAATATACGTTAATTATTCAACTTGTGATCCAATAAAAACGAAACAAGTCAGCTCACCAAACCAGGTAAGTGCTACATATATTGTATNTGGTTATATATATATATATATATATATACAGATAGATAGATAGAGTGAAAAAACACATTTATTTATTTTAGATATTCCCTCTATTTGTAATGGATAGTTTGCGTGATTATCCTGGCTTGCCTGGACTTTTTGTATCTGGAATATTTAGTGGTGCTTTAAGGTAAGTAAAGTAACATATTTGCCTTTTGTTATACATGACTTAACTGGATTCAATTAAATTTTAACTATAAAATTTATTAATTGATTGAATTTTATATATTGAGTTAGTGTGCTTACAAATACGACTTCGCTACGTTGATACCTGTTCAAACTATAACAAGTAATAAATGTTAAACACCGTTATCTATTTCTTGTCAGACACTCCAGTAAACTGAATTCATAAATTCGAGAAAAACCGGGTTTTGACTGAATGATTCTTCCTTGTCTTGTAAGCGATAAATTAAAAATACACCGGTAATGAATAGCTTAATTATTCTGATTGTATTCAGGCCATTTTCAGTGAGCCTATATACTTTAAGACTAATAAGAAAATATACCAGTCACTGCTCAATTTTTTGCAAACTATACTTTCTCTACTTAAAGGAATAATTCCAAGCTCAATGTAATGAGCATAAGCAAAATATGCATGATTGTTTTATTTTAATTAACCTCAGGAATATAGTTTGATTCTAAGAAGCTTGTAAAATGTACTACAGGCCATTAAAATTGTTACACTAGTAAGGAACGCAAATAACACAATGATATCTATTGGGCACATACATTATAGTTTGAAAAACAAGTGATTAAATTTTCGGGATATTTGGATGTATAGATCCTGAGGAATCAGTACTCAGAGCAGCCTCACCTGGCAGCAATAACAGCAGTTATTCTCCTGGGCATCGAGTCGAACAAAGATTGGATAGCATGGATGGGTACAGCATTCCATGCAGCTTCATCATTATGCCACAATTCATCGACCGCAGTGACTGACGAGTAGTGGCGTGCCAGACCTTCGACAACCATTAACCAGGCGGCTTCAATTGGTGAGAGATCAGGAGAACGTGCTGGCCATGGTAATAGGCGAACATGTTCTGTGTCAGGGAAGGTCAGGACAGTACGGGCAACATGCGGTCGTGCATTGTCCTACTGAAACGTAGCGTTATGGAGGGCTCGAAGATAAGGCAGAGCAACTGCCCTAACACATCAGAAATGAAACGGCTGCTGTTCAAAGTGCCAGCAATGCGAACAAGAGATGATCGAGACGTGTATCCGATGGTACCCCATACCATTACTCCAGGTGATGGGCCAGTATGACGATGTCAAATGCAAGCTGCCAATGGGCGTTCTCCACGATGTCGCCAAACACGGATGCGGCCATCATGATGCATCCTGGCATACAGAACCTGGGTTCGTCTGAAAAGACGACGTCATGCCATTCCTGGGACCAGATTCGTCGTTGAGCACACCATTGAATTCGTTCCTGCCTGTGAAGTAGCATCAAGGGTAGCCGAAGCCATGATCTCTGTGCTGACAGTCCATCCTGCTGCAAACGTCGTCGATCTGTTCACGCTGACACTTGCTGTCTTGCAAATGACCCCATTTGTTGACACACTGTTCGTGGCGTAGCTGTACGATCCCTTGAGGTCATCTGTATAACATGTCTGTCTCCTCGGTTGTTAGTGATGGGGCCCGCTGAGATCCAGCACGGCTTTCCATATGATCGTCATGAGCCCATCGATTCCATATTCTGCTAACAGTCATGGCATCTCGACCATCGCGAGCAGCAGTGCTTCGGTATGATAAACAACAATCCCGGTAGACCTCAATTTGACTTCGATCAAACTCAGACACGCGCTGGTAGGCAATTCTCCTTCTTAAACGAGGCATAACAAAAACTTTTTTACCCAAGAACAATGCTCAAATTCAATTTCTGTATGAGGAACTTACTGTCAAATCTCTTCTTTTATACGCATTGTAAGTGTCGTTACCGTCGCCTGCTTTGCTTGAATGCGCAGATCAGCTAATCATTTGCATACCACAACATGCTTTATCCGTCTTGCAAACTTCACATTCGTGGTGTGAAAGTAGCGTATCCACAGGATGAAAAAGTATTGGTGACTTTTTTTAAATTAGCCTAGCGCATTGCAATAAATCTTGTCCAATTTAAATAGCAAAAATAAAAAAAAGTGTTATGTGTTTTATGAAAGATTGCAGAAGAATGTGACTAATAAATAATCGAACATAGGTATTGTGAGCAACTATTTACATTTAGTGTTAAAATTTAGGCAAAACGTCTACATTTTGTCAATTGAAAGGGAATTGTTTTTTTTTATTATTGTTTTCTTTCATCTTATTGTTGATCGGCAAACGGCGTTGAATCGTGTGCTGATCGATATGCACTACAAAAACTTAAAATCTCCACACAAAAAAACAACCTCCTTATAGATTAAACTTCTTTAATTCAGAATTACTCGTTGACTTGAATCTGCTTACAGCAAAATAATGTGAATGACACTAAGAAAATATTCTGGAGGAAAAAAATTAAAATCACAGTTGTGATTTTTCTTGAAAACAGACCTAAACATTTTTATCATAAAAGCAATCTAAAAATACATAAAACGTTGAGACTCAGTTATAGAAAAATGGAATATATATATATATATATATATATATATATATATACACAGTCCAGTCACATTAATGTGACCACCACCTACTTTCGACGTCAACGTGAAATAACCACTCACAGAGTGCAGGTGGCAGCACATTACAGTGTAGTGTATATATTGGATGTCCTAGGGCATCGAAAAGCCTTTCAGTCGTTGGCGCAATGCAGAAATGTAGCGATTTATCCGAC